AAACCCCATTCTATACGTCCCCCATTTGTCACCATTATGTTATTCCATCATAATTGTTTAAAAAAAATAAAAAAAAAATAAAAAGAGACGAGACAGTAGTAGGAACTGCAATAGTCAATAATTATCGCACAAAGGTCCATGATGGAACTCCCACCCCCTTTATACATATATATGTATATGAAATTATATTATATAATTTATTTATATATCTACCTATATCTAATAGGTAGATATATAAATAAAAGGTAGATTATATAATATCGATATATGATCGATATCATATATATATATATATATTATGGGGGTCAAAGAATTGAAAATGGTAGGGAGTGCGAGGCGCCATTTTTCTTTTATTTGTTTCTTTTTTTTCCTAATAGTTTTTCTTTCTCTTTTTTATTTAGGGGAGGAGAGAGATTTGTTAATTAATTATTAATATTAAAAAAAAAAAATAAGAAAAGGCGCCCCAAAAAAAAAAGAATAAGGGTCGCTGTGTTATAGACAAAAATTATTTTTCTTCTTCATACTAATTCGTCTAAAGACATTGCATTTTTCTTCTCTTCCTTTCTTTTTTTCTTTTTGTACCTCCGTTAAAGTCTTACCCACGTTTTTGCGCAAGAATAATGATCAAACAAAAACAAAAACTAAAAAAAAAGGAAAGAACTAACTTAAGGGCAAGTTTTAATTGAAACGAGATTTATATTAAATCGGTGGAAAAGAAGAAGATGAAGTAGGAAGGGTACATCAGGAGGTGGTGAAGGAGGGGTGAAGATTGGATCGTAGGATAGGAGAGAAAATCAAAAAAATGCATGGAAAGAAAAGGAGAAATTCGAATGAAAAATTAAAAAAAAAAAAAAAAGAAGCAAACAACGTCTGACTCTTGTTTTTGGCACTCTGAGAAAATTTAGCTTTTTGGCGAGAGAAATCAAATAAAATATTTCTCCCTTTCTCTTTCTTTCTCTCTCTCTCTCTCTCTCTCAATCTCTATCTATCTCATAAAATATCTTTCTAGCTGAAAAGCGAATAAAAGAAATTTATTCTTTCCTTCCTACGTCTCTCGTTTACGAAGTAGTCATAATAGTAGTAGTGATAATAGTAGTAGTAGTATAGTAATAATGTAATTGTAGTTGTAGTAGTAGTAGTAGTAGTAGTAGTAGTAATAGTAGCAGTAGTAGTTGCTGTTAAAAGAAAATGATAAATGTAACTTCTTTAACTTGTTATAACTAACTCCTTCCCAAAATTGCTCGTACCAATTCGCATTGGGCATCTTCTCGCGTTTTTGTAATCGGGGAGGAGAAGTAAGTAGGAGGAGAAAGGAGATAAGGGTAAAAAAAGCGCAAAAAAAAAAAATAATAAACGTTGCAAAATCATCGCATCATCATTACCGACAAAAAAAGCAAAAAAAAAAAAAAAGAAAAGGAAAAGAAAAGGGAAAGGAACGTGACGAGGTGTCGTGGTGATTAAAATTGAGAGAAGAATCCTCCTGTGAGGTGGTTGCATCAAACCTCATTCCTCCTCCTCCTAACAACCCCCTATCCCACCCAATTCCTCTTCATCGAACGAAATCAGACAGGATATCCTTTCTATCTTTCTTGTTCTATAGTATTATTAATAATATTATTATTATTATTATTATAACTATTATAATTATATTATATTTATTACTATTATTATTGTTATTAATATTAATATTGTATCTTCCCTAAATATAGAATTCTTCCCGACTTGTCTAATTAATCGTCGATATTATTAAGTATACACTTTTAAAAATTGAATAACGTAAAGAAGAAGGTACATTTTTTATACGATCGACTAATATACTCTTTTCTACCTTGGGAAAAACGGTGGGCGGTCTGTGTATTTGTGGGACGGCCGCTATTGATGGACAGCAACGACCAGCATCGCCAGAAAGTTATTTTACATCCCGCTAACCCTCCCCTTCCCTCCAACGTCTTTTTTTCAATTTTTTTTTTTTCATATTTTCTATCTTATCAATCCCTATCCCCTCTCCTTCTTTCCCTCCCCCACCTCTTATACTCGTCATCAATTCTATCTTCTCCTTTTTCTTCATCATCATCATCTTCTATTTTTTCTCTTTTCCTTTACTTTTGTTTTAATTTGTTTTTAGAATTTGGTTATTCTTCCTTTGTAATATCAAATTCAATCAATTCGAAAAACTCACTCATTCAAATCATTTATACTCGTTCGTTCGTTCGTTTGTTTGTTTGATCGTTCATTCGTTCATTCATTCATTTATTCATTCATTCGTTTATGTATTATATTTTTCGCAAATATATTTTTCTTAAAACATATGTACACACACGCACACTGACTGACTTTACCTCGAGCGAGCGTGGACTCTTCATTAATTATATCCCTTCATTAATTTTCGCAGAATTTCGTACGAAAAGATATATATATATATCTGTTTACGAAAGAAAAGATAATACGCGTTATTGATATTAATAATTATTTGGATAAGAGAATTTTTCAATTGATTTTTTCTTTTTTTTTTTAATCCTATCCCAAGTTTCAGTTCAAATTTATTGCTATCGATTCGAGAAAGTGAAATTTTGTTTATTACTAATCTCACAAAACTTCCTCTCAATTTTTCAAATCTCATCCTATCCAATCTTCGTAAATATTTCTATCAAGCGTTTATCTTATCTTCGAGATCTTACGAATCTTCCTTCTACTTATTCTTTTTTTTTCTTTTTATTATTTGTACGAAAATTTGCAAACGAGAGAATTTAAGGAAAAGTCCACGCACATGAGAAAAATCGCTCGATCGGTCGACATTTTTTTTGTTTTCCATTAATTATTTTTTTTTTCTTTTTTTCTATTTTTCTTTTTTCTTTTAATAAACCCATCGCGTGAGTCCGTAGATCCTTAAACAAAATCAACATGGCCGCCTTAAACGTATAAACTAATAAAATGTAAAAAAAACAACGTGTCTCGATTATCTCTAAGTAACAAACAATAGTATTTTATTTTCTTTTCAATCTTTTTTTTTTATTATTTCTTTTTTAGTAAAAATCCTTACCCTTTTTTTTAACACCGCTCCTATACTAAACTCCCACACCCCCACCTTTCCTCCATCATCCTACAGGTTCCTCAAATTCTATTTTCATTTCCTTCCTTCGTAATCTTTTGAGATTTTTCATTTGTTTCCGTTTTATTTTTTTTTTTCATCATTACCCTCAAAAATTGTTGAACCCCCATCATTCATTTTCATCATTCATTATTCACATAACACGTCGTTGAATTAATTTTCAAAGCCGTGCCGCCGCCGCTGCCGCCCTTTTATTTTTTCGTATTTGTAATAATTATTTTAGAATGCAAAATATTTGACTATAAGATGATCGATGTCAATGGTATAATAATCTTTCATTCTAACTTTCTTTCTATTTTTCTTTCCCATTCGTAGCATGGAAATGAACATAACACCGATCACGAAATATCCCCCCCTCTCCCGAAGAAAATATTCTCTCTTCGTTGATTTAATTTTTCTTCTTCTTTTCTTTATTTTTATTTTTTTTTTATATTTATCCGAATGTCTAATTTTAGCGCGTTTTAAAATTATATATCTTTGTAATTGTTGTTTATTATCTTTCCGAACGATCTCATTAATTAATCTTAATTTTAGTCTAATCTTAATATTCGCTAAACTAAATTAAACGTATTTCTTAAACTAGTAATAGGAATAGCAATTAATTCGTCGAATATATTCGTATTACGATAATAATTATTACACGCAATTATAATTCTCTACGAAACTTATCTCACTAAAAAGAAAAAGAAAAAGAAAAAGAAAAAGAAAAAGAAAAAGAAAAAAAAAGTAAAAGTAAAAAAAAAGGAAAGAAATAATAAAAGGATTAGATATTAAATTAATAATTCGCGAGAAATACAATTTGACTAATAAACGATTTATAAAGAGACGATTTTTTCCGATCTTAGAAATGATTACTCGAGTTAACGAAGGGTATTTATCCTAGAAACTTAAGGTTTCAGACGTTGGCACGTATCAAGACGTTGATTCATCAATAATTTCGCTATCTCTCGTTAACTTTTCATCATTCTCTAATAATACTGATAAATTAAACTTTCATCTTTTAAATAGCGCAACACAACCCCCTCTCCGCTTTCTTCCATAATCAATTTTTTATTTTACGAGATTCGAAGCTTTTTTTTTTACGAACGAAATAAAGAAAGAAAAAAAAAATTAAATGAAACAAAGAATTATATTGTGATCGGTGTTATGTGAAATGTACTCGCTCGAAACATCATCATCATCATCATCCACGAGTTATTATTATCRATTATTATTTTATTACTTACATATGTGTAGTATGTATATATGTATGTTCGTAAGAGTATATGTATAAACATAACACATAATATATATATAGTAAAGAATAGAAAAAAATTGATTGTCTGAATAATTGGTGGTATTTTACCACTTCGAAAAAAGACTAATGTGATATTTTTTTCTTCTTTAGATTCGATACGAAAACAAAAGAAAAAAAAAGACATATCATCGATAGAAACTTACCTATCCTCCCCGTTTTCTCGTTAAAAAATAAAACAAAATTAACCCTTTCGCTTCGAGCGCCGGATATATCCGGCATAAGCGCGATAACTTGTACGCGTGCTTCCCCGTACGGTGATGATACTTCGGCGGACTGGACTACCGAAGCGAAAGGATTAAACATTGATAATATTTGTTAATCCTTTGAGTGTTATACAAACGTATACATCCATATGTTCAATAAAAATAATCATCGTGGATGAGTGGAAAAATAATAATCGTATAAAAATGTGTCATCTGCGTTGATTATTATTTCGATTCTTCTTCACATCAAAATAATAATTAAGTCTTTCACAGAATGAAACAAACAAACAAAAAAATATATTTTATTCCTAGAAACTTAGGTTAAGGAATTCATTACTCAATTAGGAAATGAATTCATCACTCAAAGGGTTACAAGAATAATTTTGAAAAATCATAAGCAAAATAATAAGAATTCATACGAATTCTTTTTCTTTATTTTTTCCCCATTCACGGGGTTGTGTTTTTATAGTTAATGTTGCACAAGACAAAGAAAAGGGGGATGATTTCTGATCTATGAATAAATTCGTGGAAATAGTTGGTTGTTAATGTCGTTGTTGTTGTGTTGTTATTGTTTCGAAAACTATTAAGTTATTTAAGAGAGAAGAATGAAGAATATAAATGTAAGTCATCGTCATCGTCATCGTATTCGTCGTCATAATATGTCACGGATAATAATATCTAGAGCAAGGTTGCCCGAAGCAAGGAGATCAACGGGTCGAAGAAAAGTGGGCTCGGGTCGGACGGCGTGTTGCTGTTGTTTAGACGCCGGTTTGCTAACTTCTCTAATGGTTACGGCCACTGACTATAAAGCTGAAATTGCTCGCGGGTAAAGCACATCGCTAAAGGTTTCACAAAGTGGGCGTCGACGGTTCTACAATGAGGGCAGGCGAACACGCGGCTGTAGTCCGAGTAAAAGTTTAGTCGTTGGTGTGGATAGATCAGAGGCTTCTGGCAGCTGTTGCACTATAACAAACAAAAAAGTAGACGAATTATCGGTAACAATAATATTTATTCTTTCACTTATTATTATTTGTTTTTTTTTTTAACACGTTCGTCACGTCATCGTATATTTAGCTAACGGGTGGTATACGTTTCTGCAAGTTCTCCTCTCCCACTTCTCATTACCTCAGGCCCCAGACGTGGGGTGACGTTATTCTTGCTCGTTATTATCCAAAGGAATTTAATGGAATAATCATTTAACCCTTTCTTTTGCTTCGGCAAGTACAGTTTCCCGAAATACCGTCCATTGAACGGAAGCATGCGCTAAGGTTGAAATATATTGTGTAAAACGTTTTGAATTTTGTTTTAACAAAGATATACGTTTTAGGAAACGTATAATCCAATTTGTCAATAAAATTGAAAGAAAATGTTCTGACGATAAAGACAAATTTATTATCAATGATACATTGTACTTGTGTGTAAACGCATCATTTGGATGCCGGATGTATGAGGCGTTCGAAACAAAAATGTTAGATATAAGATATACAAATACTATTGATTCATTTATATTTAGAATAAAATATTATTTAGATCGTTAAATGTTTCCGTTTTGGTCCATGGGATTTAGGTTCTTAGAAAAACTGGATCACGGCTTGCGACGAACGTATTAAACATTATCAACTTTATCATATACTACTGATATTTATCACGTATGTTTGACGAATATTTCATTTCATCAAGTTAATTAGTTATTTATTATTTACTTATAATTTGTTTTATTTAAAATTACAATCACTAATAAATGAACGATGAAAATTATTCTAACGAGTTCTATTTGTTTTTTTTTTTTTTATAATTAAGAGTGTGTAGATAAGAGTCAATTTGATACTTATAACAAATTTGAAATAAAAATCAAACAAATTAAGAAATAATATAAAAAATCGATATGAATCGTTAATTGAAACGAGACATAGGATATTATTATGAATGTTGAAACTTATCTTTAGTTTCATGAATCTAAAAAAAAAGAAAAAAATACGTACCTTGAGACGTTCCGTGCAGCATGGCATGGCTGCAAATATATCATAGCTATACATGGTGCCAAGAACTAAACTGGAACCATCCCATTTTTTGGTGCAGCAACGACAACGAAAGGGTGCATTGCCGCTACCTTCGAGGCAACTCATACACACTGCTGATAGATATTGGATGCGACCTTCGACCTTTACCTGCAACCAAACACCCAAATAAATCATTTCAATTGTCTTTATTTTTTCTTTTATAATAAAATAATTTTTATGTTTTTAGTATTTGTAGTTATTTCTATATAAATATTATTATTTATTAAATTAATTTTATATTTGTATATATTTCGTATATTATTTGTAGTTATATTTTGTATATATATTTTGTTAAAATAATTATTATTGTTTTGTATAAAAAAAAATAGAAAAAAAAAAGAAATTATTAGACTAAATATATATTTTTTTTAATTCCTTGTAATAATTTGATGAAATGTCGTAATTGTGATGTATAATTTATTGGATAATTAAAATTAGTATCGTTTACATTACCTCGGCACAAGCTGGTGAATGTTGTCGTGGTGATAAGAAAAACGTGCCATCCACCAAAGGATACCGATCGAATACGAGCATAGCTGCACGACAAAGGACACAAGAAACTCTGGACCATTGCAATGCTGCCAAAGTAGATAGAATGAAGCATCTGGTATCATCGTTGCCATGATTACCTTCGTCCTCCATCTGAAAACATCGAAAAAAAACATCGAACATTAATATATTTTTTATTCGTTTCCATAAACTATTCAAACAATTATTTTTCAAAGAGTTTTAATGATATATAGAAAACTTTTCATTTTAACAGTGTTACTACAATATTTAAAATACATTCTAAAAAAATGAATCTCAATAGTTTATTTTTTGATCAAATATTTTTATCATTTGTAGAATTTCTCAAACGGAGTATTGTAAAAAGCCAATCTCATTGCAAAAGTTTTTCTGTAAGAAGAAACATTCATAAAAATTGCATTTAGGTAATTGATAAATTGATAATTTTATTATGTACGAGATAATTGTCGTATCTTGTGAATAGCAAGACCAAATAATTGTGATATATGTGATTTAAATAAAATATTTTGAATATTTAAGAATTATTATTGAGATACAGGTAAAAATTTAAACAATTGAAGTTCAAACCTCTAATAAATGGTGTAAGAGTAATAACGTTGTAAAAAGTATGCTTAAAGTAATGTGAATAATTCTAAATCTTAAAATATCGTTAATTGTAATAAATAATAAAATTAAAATATTGCAATTCAATGAATAAGCAAATTTAAAAATTTTGCAATTTGTTATTTTCATAATATTTAAATAAAGTAATTTTAAATATACCTTTCAGGTATATATAAGTACCCCCTTTATTTTCATGTAAAGAAATTGTAATTAAAAATAAATTAAAAATTATATAATATAATAAAGAAAAAAAAGAAAAAAAAGAAATTAAATAATAAAAGGGAATAATAAAAAGAAAAGAAAAAGGAAGAAGAAGCTTTTCCTTTTTTAAAATCCCATCCAATGTGAACGCGTCTATATTTTATTGCTCGATCGATAAAAGAACCCACCTTGGGACTCGTGCTCGTGAACCCGTGCCCGTGAACGTGACCTCGAGAAATATATAGTTAGAACTCTTTTTATTCTTCCTAGCTCTCCACTCACTCTTTTACTTTCTCTTCGTTAGTTTTATTTTCTTTTTTTTCGTTTTTTATGATCATTTAAAAAAAAAAGAAGGAAGTTTTATGAATCAATGATAACAAGAAAGTATTCAATAAATTTCACATTTTTTTTTAAACTTACTCTTATTTTTAAAATTTAGAGACTGGACCATGTATTTTTACATTCTGAGATCATCTCACCCCCACCCACCACCACCACTTTTGTGTCTATCGTGGATAATGTGAAAGGTGTATGAAAAATTGACGGAAAAAAGGGAAGAAAAAGAAGCAAACTCTTAGAGCGAATATTTTTTTCGAACACATGAATACACATACACATATGCAACGCACATGTGAACGTTTTCTATTCTCTTTCTTTATTTCTCTCATAAGCAAAGAGAGATATCATCGGGATATATCCACGGAAAGCTATGTTTCTACTGTTTGGAGAGGAACTGAGAGGAAAAGGGAGGGGGTGGGTGGGATTGTCGAGTGGCAGGAATACCCAACTGAAGAGGGAATATGTAGAAAGAGAAAGAGAGAGGAGTAGTGGGTAAAGAAAGGGAGAGAAAAAAGAAGATAAAGAAAGAGAAGTATAGGAGTGAGTTCTCGTCTGGGAACATACTCGAGGACTGACTCGTTGGCGAACACGAGAATTCTCTGGACCAACACGTCCAGATCAATATTTTAGAGAAAGGATCAACCATCATCTCCACCCCCACCACCCTTAACATCTATATTTATCTTTATCACTTACTATATACTTTTTTCGTTTCGCATTCGTTTGTATCATATGTCAAATATATCATCAATATATAATAAAATAAAATTAAAATATCATTATTATTAACCCTTTCGCTTCGGCTGTCCAGTCCGCGGAAGTACTGTCACTGAACGGAGGCGCGCGCCGCGAATACGTCCAGTATGTGTTGTTGCTGCATATATGTTTTCCTGAGTCTTAAATTACTAATGTACCGAATAAAACAATCTTTGCTACAATATAATGAGTATAATTTACATTTTTGATATGAAAATATTTATAACTTATAAACATATATAACTTACATTTATAACTTACTGTTGAGGAATTGAGTAGGCTTATTGAGAAGAACGTCGAGCATTTGCTGTGAGTGGTCAGATTTATTAAAATTCGTACGTGTACACCGCGTGACGGTTGAGATTCAAATGAGAAGCCGTTGAGCGAACCACGTTCCGAGCTTTACAGAGAAAATATTACAATGAGCAGACTAGAGACGGCCTGATTATATTAATCAGATAAGATCCGAACGATGAAGATTATATTAATCCCACCGAACTTGTACTTTTGTGAGAAGACGTATAGCAAAGTTGAGAAGACACGTGTAGTTGGAACGAGATGTAGAAAACTAATAAAGATGCCTGCCTAAGAAGCCGGCGTCACGGCGCTTCTTCAACCGCCGTGATGACTTATGGCGAGTCTGTATTGAGCGACAACTGTCGCGAGTTCTGATTGGGCATTAGAAATACCAAACACTTACAAAGCTACAGGTAATATTTTTATTATGTGCACGCCGCTTATAAGCGACGCTCGTACCCACAGGTCATATTGCTTACGCCGCTTATAAGCGACGCTCGTACCAACAGGTCGTATTGTGCACGCCGCTTACAAGCGGCGCTCGAAGCAAAAGGATTAATTGGCATTAGGAACTCGAAAGTTCATTGCCGCAAATACCAAATTCCGCCATTGTTCCCGTCCCTGAGCGCGATCCTTCCATTCGCTGTCTTCGTATGTCAAATATATCATCAATATAAAATAAAATTAAATTAAAATATATAAAATAAAAAATAAAATTTATTATATAAAATTTTCTATATATATAGAAAACAAAAAAGCGTATGATGCATTAATACACGTATACAATTCTTAAGCCGCGGAGGATGGGGAGAGGCTCTTTTCTCTCTTTTTCTTGTGCGCCGGCGTTGAGGATTATCGGAATTCAATAATACGCGAGCCGATACAAATAAATATAAAAATCAGCCCTCGAACGATATGCTCGACGGCACAAAATAATAAAGAAGGGAAAAGTATTCGAGAGAGGGGTTTAAAGAAGCGTAAAGAAAGAGAAACTGAAGTTGGAATACGTTCAAAAGCAAATATAACATTCTAAACGTCCTCGCCATTTTTCCTTACCCTTACAATTTCTTTCTCTCTCTTTCTCTTATGTTAAACAACCAATCAACCAATCCCTACTTCTCTCCCTCCTTTCTACTCTTATTTATCTTTTTACCTTTCTTTCTTATGACATATATTTGTTTAACTCGAATTATTTTGTTGTTAGTAATTATTATTGGGAACCAAAGGAGCTTTCTTTTTTTTCTTCCTATTTTGTTATAAAAAAAAAAAATGCGTCGTAGTTATTAAATGATGTAATTTAATTTTTGACCCTGTGACTACGTGTAACGAACTATGCGTAAAGATTGCCGCAAAAGATGTTTATGAATGTGGAACGTAAAAAAAGACGAGAGAAAAAGACCGCTTTTAGTTTATATACTCAGTAGTAGGAAATGACCTGTAAAGAAGAGGGGTTTAAAAAAAGGGTGATGGAAAACGTGGTGAAAAAGGGCTCCATTGGGATCTCTGCTGGGGATCAACTCTTAAAAAACGCTCTTATTTGAAGTCTTAACGCTCTTGTCAAACGACCATTGGTCCCCAGACGTTAAAGAAATAATATTACATATATATATACACATGTAGAAAGCACGTAAAATTTCTTACGATCGGATCCAACTATAGTTGTTTCCGCATCTGATCCACCCATGAAAAGGGAAAGTTAAATTTATATTTATTTTTTTTTTTTTTTTTATAAAAAAAGTACCATCTTTGTCCGTCTTCTATTTTATCTTATTCTTTGTTTTATAGTTGTACAAATAAATAATAATAATTTTTATTCTGATTAATGAAACTTTACATATAATTCTAAGAATATAAAAAATACTGTTAGTTTGGTGGATTATGTAAAATTATTTGTATTTCTATGCAAATATTATACCTGAATGAAACAATTTGAAAAATGATAACTACAATTTGAATTTTATGCAATATTATAAATAATTCTTATCAAAAACTAAATTGTCCACCTTAGACAAATGTATGCGTACACGAACATAAACTAATTTCCTTATTTCAATTGAAACAAAGGAAAAATAATGTAACGAATTATCTTACCCAATCCACTGACAATAGAATCGCTTTTATGTCTTAATAATATTTAACAAAATATTCTTTAACATTACCTTTAATTAACTTTAATTAATATACGGTTAAATATTTAATATATATAAAATAAAATATAATTATTTATTCTGAAAGATGAATTTTAAATGAAACAAATAAATAAAGTTCGAACAAAAATATTACGGAGATAAGAACAAAAGAAAGAATTTGCAAAAGAGGAAGAAAGAGATAAAGAGAATGAGAGTGAGAGTGAGAGAAATAGGCTGAGGGTGAGAGGAAGAGAATGAAACAGGAACTCGAAGGGATCCTTGTTCTTCTTAGCGGATTTGCGAGCTCGAGGACAAAGGATCCTTAGGTTGAGAAAGAGAAGAGAGAGAGAGAGAGAGAGGGAGAAAGGGAGAGTGAAAGATGGGTGGGATAGCACGTGCTCTGTCGGGTGGAAAAAGGAAGAGCTAAAGAGACTCGATAAAAAGAGAGGAAAACTTTTCGTGGAAAGTTTTCCCTTCTCTTAGTTCTATATATAGGGCCCTTCCCCTCCTCCCTATCTACCATTCCACTCTCTCACCCTTTTTCCATCCCCTCGAGGGAATCGCGATGCAAGTGACCCACTGTCGTCGTAGCCTTGTACCGTATCGAGGTAAGCCGAATCGAACAAAGAAACCTTCTTCCACCCCTCCACCCTCTTCTTCCTCTTCTTCTTCTTATAGTGTTCCTTCTCGCGTGAAAAATAATCGATTGATTCTACCTTCCTTTCTTTCTTTTCCTATCGTCCCTTTTCTCTCTATCTTATCCTTCCGGAAAGAATTTTTTTCATATCT